ATTGTCTAAATTCTCTATGAAATGAGACAATACACAGTTAAATAAGGTTCAAGATTTAAACATCTTTAAAGCAAAAAATAAAAATAACTACTTAAGTTACTTAAACTACAATAACAAAAAATACCAGCTAACAATTAATGAAAACTTATAGTCAAATGTCAAATATTTCACATGGATAATTTCATTTAAGTCTTACAAAAATACAATGACCTGGATATTCTGACTTTTATAAAAGTAGAACAAAATAAGAAGGATATAAACAGCTTCTGAAACACAAATAGTTACCAAACAGAATTCTCAAGCCAGGAAATAAACTCAAATAATTCAATGGCTACACCCAAAACTAATTAGCAAATAAAACCAGATTGTGAAGCTATTAAGTTGGAAATCTTGTGCTTTGAATATTAACACCTGCTCAGCTCTGAAATAACTGTTTTGCTGTGTTTAATTTTTAAAATTAAATTATTTTGAATCAAAACAACCTAAATATACAACAGTAAATACATTTTAGAATACTCATATGTGAATAAATGGATACCCTGGAAAAAAGGAGTATTATAAAGCAAAATAACAGATCTATACATAATATGCAGAAAATGTAGACTTTCATTAAAATGTTATATGCACAGTGGATGCTAGAAAGATTTTTACATGTTAATAACTGCAGTTTATTGGAAGTTTTATATATTATGATACCTCCCACATTTTTATATGCAGTATTTTGTCATGTTTAAAAGACTCGAAGAGCTAGTCATAAACAATGAAATTTAAAGTAATTCAGATGCCTCTGACAACAGGTGAGCAAATAGTTGTAAAAGCTGAAAAAGGAATTCTAAGTATAAAATAGCAGTGGACAAAGGACTAAGGTGAAGAAAATTGGGTAAATTTTCCTGAAGAACAAAGGAAGACACATTTAAAATTAAAATCAAGACTCAGTAGTGACAATCAGAAATCATCCAACTTTTGTGACCAATTTTTCAAAAAGTATAACCTAAAATATTGCTTCTCCTGGACTGAATTATGGATCCATCACCAATAAACATGTCAGAAAGCCACAGCACTCATATGTACAAAGAAATGCTAACATACAAAAACACAAGCTGCAATTTTTACAAAAGTGATAACATATCAGAAAAATAAATTAAGAAAATTGTAGGGGTGGTTCTAATGCTAAGGTCCTATTCCCTAACTGGTTCTTAATCTGTCAGTAAAGAAAGCCATAGCCAATTGCTGGGTGAAAGGTACAAGCAGAACTTCCAGGTCCCTGAAGGAAAAGACAGATGCAATGGAAGAGGAGGAAGTTTGCCATGCTTTGGAGAATGAAGAACCAGGCAGGCATGTGAGGTCTCCGGAGAAGCAGTGGGCTGTGGCCGCTCCTATAGGAAGGTGGTCAGAGATGTTTAGCAGGGACTAGATTCAACTGACCAACTAAAGTTATGGCAAGTGGGAGGTATGGAGCTAAGAGTAATGATAAAGGCATGTTTTCCAGGTGAGAGATAGTAGCACCCTGCAATTGTGCCAAGAAGGCAAGTTGAAAATAAACAACTGTGTGTATATCTTTTATCTGTGGATTCAAGGGAAACTGGGTGGGAGCTGGTAGTGTGGCCCATTTCTGGAGCATAGGTGGGGTAGCAAAAAGCTACATGCAACAGAAAATCATTCTACTTACAATGATATCAGAAAAATAAACCATTTGGGGATAAGTTGAACCAAGAAAGTAAAATATTTTTGCATTGAGAACAATAAGATATTAATGAAATAAATGATGAGCACAAATAAACAGAAAGTCATGCTGCATTCAGGATTGGAAGAATTACTATAAACACATTCACACTGCCCAAAGTACACTCACATTTAATGTCATCTGTTCAAACGGTTATAGTACAGGTCATAAAGCTGCAGACCACCATGAATACAAGGACAAATTAGAGTCTGTTTTTTTAGCAGATGACTGAGAACAGGATAGCATCTCAGAAAGGACCTTGGGCACCAAAGCTCAAGCATTTTTAAAGCACAAATACCACACAGATCACAATTATATTATTCTTTGATGAAGATCAGAGTAACCTTGCAATATACATTTTAGCAGAATGTAACTATTTCAGATAAAACATAACAACTATATTCGATTTATATTTTCATCAGTTAATTTAGCTTATGTTTAGCTTATATAAACATTTTTTGGTTAGTACAAGTGAACCATGGTCATGATCAAGATTTGGTATGACAATACCAAATGTGTTGCCAAGATGAACGTAGGTATTAGGAAGAAATAGAAGGCTGAGAAGTGTATACTCAGACACAGAAATGGAGTCAACAAAAAAGGATGTTGTTTTAGTCACTTCAAAACTTAAAACAGCATTTTAGAAAAAAAAACCATACACACACACCTAAAATTTGTATAGGATTACAAAAGATTTCAAATGGACAAACAATATTAAGAAAGAAAAACAGAACTCGAGACATTGTGCTTCCTGATTTTAAATTAGTATAGTCTATAGATTTAAAAAATGTGTGGGACAGCCATAAAACATATTATAAACTCATGAAACAGCACAGATAATCCCGAAACAAACCTATGCATTTGTAGGTAACTGAGCTTTAACAATGCTAAGAAGACAATGAGAAAAGGGAGCATCTTCAAGTGATTCCGGGGACCCTGGACATCTGTCGATAAAATAGTAAAGGTGTGCCTGTGTTGTATATATAAAATATCCATTAGAAATGGATTACACATAAGTGTCATTCTCAGACCATGAAATTCCTAGATGACAACATGAGGAAAAAGCAGTCTTGTGTATGATTGGCTGGGATGTTTTGAACACCCTCCCAAAGCGAACACAAAAACACAAAATAAATAGTGAAACTACATCAAATTAACACACTGACACATGGGATAAACAAGAACCAGCAGGCTGAAATGGCAGCCAGCAGAGAGGGAGAATACTGTTAATTTGTATCTGTGATATGGGTTAATACACAAAACCTCATGAAAAATCCTAAGTCTGCAAAAACTTCAATTAAAAGTGGGCAAGGACCAGAACAGATATTTAAATTTTTTTAATAATAACCAACGATAAGAAAAAATATTCTCAACATCATTAATGATGAGAGAAATGTAAATCAAAAGCACACTGAGATACCATGATATACATGCTATAATTTATAATATATAGTGTATAAACACCACACACCAACAAAACAAGAGGTAAGTGGTGCAGATATGGGAAGTCAGAGTACTTGGACACTGTAGGTAGACATATAGATTGCTACAACCATTATAGAAAACAATTTGGAACTGCTAAAAAAAATTACAACAGAACTATTATGATTCTGAACAAGTTAATTAATTCATCATGACAAAGAGATACCTTGGGGCCTCTCTTCCTCAGTCATTTCCACAGCATCAATTTCCTCATTCTATGCTCATTGAGGAAATATTCTAATAGCCAAGACATGGCATCGTCTTGAGTGTCCACCAGCAGAGGACTGAATGAAGAAATTCAGGCTACATAAGCAAGGGAATCAGACTTACTGTTTTAATGAAGTTGTATTACTTTGAAAACATGTGAAACTGGTGAACATTGTATTAAATGAAGTGATTAAGACATTGAAAGAAAAATCCTACATAATTTCATTTATTCGTTGAATCTAAAAATGTTGCCAGTGGTAAATCGGTACAATGTTATAAGGCACATATACTTATATAATGAATAAGAAACCCAAAATATAGCAGCATAATTTAAAAACAAGTTTAATGAGAGGAAGAAAAAATTAATAATTCTGTATAGCTTACAAAACTTTTTAAGTGAGTAGGATTCTTCACTGTCCCCTTCCAGATGTACACAGATGTATACATAAGGGAGCTATATACAACCACCATATGCTGGCTAGAAGTTTTGGCCATCAAGATGTGGCATATCACACCACATCATACTCCTCAAATATTTTTGTTCATTAGACTTCAATAAACATAGAGAAGAAAAAGACTAAAAAATTCTCATTAGTCATTAAGATTTCTCATACCTGTAACAATATTTCCTCTTACTGGTTTGAGAAGAGAAAAATGTTGTTTGATATATATTATTAAAATATTAGACAATTTTATTATTTTATCTGTTTACTGTTTGGAACAAAATGATTTTCCTTTTCTGGAACTGCTGGAGATTTTACTGATGACCTTGTGTATGCTAGTCAATTCTGTATACCAAGCAAGAAATTATTTTCCAATTGTAAAAATGCTTTAGCTTGCTATATTTATGTCTTTAAACCTGAATTTGCTTATCACTTTCAAATTTAACTACCCAGTAGAAAGATTTTAGGAATAATTTTTAAAATTTTGTGGGTTAAACGTATTATGTGTAATTTTATTATAAATGAAATACTCCCTCATGGCCTTGCTGTTGAAGACTTTAGATCTAACACTGATGTTGCTATTCTAGGAGGTTCTGGAAATTTCCAGAAATACATCACTGAAGCATAGCTTTGTGCACTGCATCCTGTTATGGGACTCTGTCCTGAATCCTCCCTCCCCAACTCCCTCTGTATTATGTGTTTGAGTCCTCTGAAGAAAGAGTCAAAAAATTCCTTTGAAATTGCTTTTCTCAAGTATCTGTTGTATCAATTGAAAAAGTAATTAGCATACTTGGCTGGATGTAACTTATTGGTATATCAAAATATATATTTTAAAGTAAAAGCTGAAATCCTCATTCTGTTCTCCAAATAAAATACAATTTAATTTCTTTTAACCTGCCTTTTCTAGTATGGATTAAGATTAGATAGATACAAGCAAATTTGAGGAAAAGGAATTCAAGATGTAGCAGGCATTAAGGGACATGGGAGAATGGGCTCAACAAAAAAGTTTTGCACGCATGAAGATGTCCTTATCTAATAAAATGCAATGCTCAGTGAATGTACATGAGTAAACAATAAGAGAGGAAGAGGAGTAGAAGCCAGGAGAGAAGGAAAGTGAGACAAGGAATGAGGACAGAGGCACTCACTTCTGTGGAACAGGTCCCAGAACTCATCGATCTGGGTCTGCGTAGGGAAATGACCACAGTCGTTGAAGTACTTCATCAACTCACTTCTTTCTAATCCTTGCCAGTCTTCTCTCTTGGCAAACATGGTCTCATAGACTAAAAATCAAAATGTACAATTATATAGTTTCTTTTACAAATAGTGTGCTGTGCACAAGTAACCTACAAAGTACTTCTGTACTGCAGTTAACTGTCAGCCAGGTTTACCCTTATACCTGTGGATGAGCCTTTGGCATTCTAGAAGTCTTCTGGCTAAGGGGCAGGAGGCAGGACCTCTCTTCCTCACCCATTTCCGCAGCATGAATTTCCTCAGAATTGCATTCAGTCAGGCTCCCCATGAAGAGCACAAGACAGAGGTGGAGCCTCTATCTGTTTCATGACAAATGATCACAGACCTTACACATATCAACACACAAGCTACATCATTAGCTGCAATGTGGGAAATTTTATTTTTATTAAGATATGTTCATTGCACACATTATTGGGGCTCAGTGTGATAATCCAAGGCATATAAATAGCACAGATCTAATTCTACCCCTCTGTACCTCTTCTCAACTACTAATTGTTGCTATTTCATTTTTAGATCAATGTCTACAACACTCATATTTAAGAGGATGTGTGGCTTATTTCACTTATATCTACAATATACATATACATATATATATATATCACAATATCTACTCATCCCCTCATAATGCTGAAAATGAAAGTACTGAGCTTTTCTTTATGACTGACACTGCATCAGGATATGTGATATGTTTTCTTTATCCATGCATCTGCTGCTAGGCACTTGGGCTAATTCCACGTCATACCTTATGACTAATATGACGATGAACAGGCATCTCTTTGGAGTGCTGCTTTGGCTTCGTCAGATGCACACTCAGAGCGGCTTAGCTATACCATGTGAGATTTGTTTGTCTTTTTCTTTTTTTCATTTTTAAAAAACAATGATTCTATGATATTGGCTCCTGAACCTAAGGCCTGAACCTAGGGCACCATGTACACAAGGCAAGAGCTTCACCACTACTGTATCTATCGCCAACATAGGTCTTTTATTCTTACTTTGCATCAGGAAATCGCTAAGTTGCCTAGGCTGGCCTAGAACTTACAAACCTTTTGCTCTAACCATTATAGGTCTGTAAACCAGATTGTCCCATTTTTTATTTTTATTTTATTTGTTTATCTTTTGGATCTCCATACTGTCTGTTCCCTTTTGTCCACATTGTCACCAGTAATGACAGGAATCCCACGTTCCTAACTCCTGATGTCTCAGGTCAGAAGTCATTTCTCCTGTAAACTTCTCACTTCTTTAGCTTCCAGTCCACACCCTAACCACTGGGATTTCCATTATAATTTGGATTTCTGATTTTGAAATAGAATTAGGAACAATATCTACATTTTGCTCACTGACTTCACAGCAAGAAAAGAAAAAATAAGAAAAAAGAAAAAGAAACTCCTACTTGAATAGGAATGGCTATGCCAGATCTTCAAAGCCATCAGAAACACATACAAATTAATATTTGATAAAGGTATGTGTTTTTCTCTCTTTTCAAATCTACAAACTAAAGCTGCTGGATTCAGAGCCCATTCACATCCAATTGTAGAATGGAATTCAAGACTTTCCTTCTGTTTCTGGGCATTTTGACTCAGAAGTGCCAGCATCTGCATTTCATTGCTTCAAAGCTTCTCCTAGCATAGGGCTTCAATCTGTTGACCTCTGGGCAATAATCCAGAAGTCTCCAGGGATTTAAGACCCTTGCAGACTGGCCCTCAACCCCTGCTGAAGTAGCGGCAGTGTGGTGGGGGTGGGGGTTGATTATGAAAATCTAGTTTTTGAGAAACTTGGCTTCATTATTTTTATGAGTTCCCATGACAGTGTATTTTTTTTAACTTCCATCCTGTCCCTACTGCATTTTCCATGCCATTCAGAGTACTTTATGGGATTTACTTTCAAATAAATTAGATGTGCTGGAATTCTTTTCTCAGAATTTATTTCTCTAAAGGCCTAAATTTAAGGCACAGAGAATGTCCTTTTGTTATTTACATAAATATATTTTCATAAAAATTCATGTACCTTTATTAATTTCTTCGCTCATCCTTAGATGTCTTTCATATCTTTAATACCATACTCCTGTGACTACTCAGTGCATATTGTACAATACAAACTTTCTGCAGTTCACTAGCAAAATTAATGAACTAAGTTAGTTAGCCAGTTTCAGTAAACACATACCTGAAAGCTATAAAAATGATAATAATCAAAAATTTTAAATCTGTAATTACAACTCAAGAATAAAGTTCATGGAGGTAGGAATAAAACTAAAATAAACAAATTACTATAAAACAAGAAAAAAAAGCATAGTGACAGAATTTAGAGTGTGATGATAATACCAGGTTTAAAAAAAAATGGTAACATTTAGAATGTGATTGGGAATTCTCTGGCTGAATACTAAAATAGACTCTTTCATGGTGCCTCTTAGGAATGGCCAAGGCAGTATTCTAGAAAAGTCATGTGGTCTGAATTAGTGGTGGAAACAACACACAAGGGTTTCTCATGAATAGACATGTCTTGACCCACATCAGAGCATACCTGCTGTTGAGTAAGGGCCATTCTTGTTAAAGACCAAGCATGCTAGAGAGAGAAGTGTAACAATGTGGATGCATTGTAGCTATTGTGGATGCCAACTTAAATGTTCTCAGCTTAGTGTGTGTGTGTGTGTGTGTGTGTGTGTGTGTGTGTGACAGAGAGAGAGACAGAGAGAGAGACAGAGTGGGAGGGAGAGAGGGAGGAAGGGAAGGAGGGATGGAGGAAGGGAAGGAGGGAGGGAGAAGGAGAGGGGGGAGGAAGAAGGAGAGGGAAAGGAGGAGATGGAGAGGAAAAGGGAAATGGAAATAGAGAGGGAACTGGAGGGGGAGGGGGAGGGGAGGGGAAGGGGAGGGGGAGAGGGGGGAAGGGGGAGAGGGAGGAGAGGGAGAGGGGGGAGAAGGGGAGAGGGGGAGGGGGGGAGGGGGACGGGAAGGGGGAGGGGGAGGGAGAGGGAGAGGGAGAGGGAGGAAGAGGAGGAGGATATTCCTGGACTGACAAATACTATTGTGTCTCAGTTGTTAGGATCCCAAAGAACCAGAAAAATCCAAAAGCTTTTCAATCTCCCTAAAGAAGATAATGTCCCCCAATATGTTGTCAGAAAGCTCTTAAACAAAGAAGGTAAAAAGCCTAGGATCAAAACAACCAAAACAGTGTCTTCTTCCTCCATCTGCCCTGCAACAGAAACACTGATGTACTCCTCTGAAGAAGCAACATACAAAAAAAAAGAGAGAATATTGCAAAATATGCTAAATTTTGGCCAAGAGAATGAAGGAAGCCAAAGAAAACTGCCAGGAACAGATTGTCAAGTAGGCCGCCCTCACTGAGTACTTCTACTTCTAAGTCAGAGTCTAGTAAAAAATAAGTCTTGAAGTGTAGCAAATAATCAGCCATTGAAAAATACAATATAATAAATAAAATTAAATGGGTAGGAAGAAAGCTAGTTGGTACAATAACTAAAAGTCTTATCACACATTTTGATAAATATCAGAAAATCTGTATTTCAAAGTATAACAGAATATAAAACTACTACCCATAGAAGACTACTTAGATATCTTACTGATTTTGTACTAGTGGGTGGAGCACTCATGACGAATAATCTTGAAACTTCAAGTACACGTGGGTGGGATCCCTATTCCCCTTCTTCCCTCAAGTTTGGAAACTAAGTCCCAACAGCTTCCAAAAGAAAACAGGTCCTCACTGCCTCCGCCTCTGTCTTAGCTTTCTATCTGTCTGACTTTCTGCTGTACTATTTGTTTGGGAGAAACCTTGAGAATTCTACAAATGCCTTATCTAACTTTCTGAAAATCAGTCTGTAGGACTAGATCACTGAACTGGGTCCTCAAGATCTCTATATAACGGACCTCTTAATTGTCTCTCTGTGTCTCTTTCTCTATTTGGCTTCTTTCTTTAATGTCTAACAACAGAAGTGCAAAAAATATGACTCATTTTGAAAATATATTTTTGTGTATAAACTTAATGAAAATTGCCTTTTGAACAAATGATTTTTGCCATTTTAATACACTAGGCACATGTTAAATAGTGAATGTTCACTGAAAGACATAAGCCCCATCTTCATGGTTCTTTTACAAATGTGAAGTCCCAAATGTAAAATAAACAGGTCATAATTAGCTGAAACTACCAAATGTAGAACATTGATCCACATAAAACCATAAATGATCCTGATTAAGTATAATTTACTTGTATCATTCATTTTAATTCTAAAAAATTGATCTAGTAATACATACCACCTAAATAATACTCAACTGATTAGATATAAATAAAAAACAATGATAAAAATGTGTGTCCTTATTTTTATGAGCAGAATCTCTTAACAGTTTGAAGTAATGTGTGCCTTATTCTGCTCAGGGTGCTTTAACATTTACCTAGTATTACAATTTAATATTCATTTCAGGAGTGGCCAACCCCTCCCCATAGGCAGAGTGTCACCCATTGTAACTCTCAAGGCCTCCAGTCCTTCCACAGCCACTTCAAAGTTCCTAACTTACAGCTCAGGCTAAACCATCCATTTAAAATCTCTTAGGTATATAAATTTTTTAAAAAAGTGTCTCAGGCTGGATATATCACTTGGTACAGTATTTGCCTACCATGCATGAAACTTTGGGTTCTCCAACACAGTGTAAAAACATGGTGATATGTAGCAGGATATTTTCCAGCTACATTTGCAATAAAGCTTGGTAATTGGGGAGGAGATAATGTGGGAGGAGCGAAGAGTGGAAAGGAGAAGAAAGAAGAGGAGAGAGAGGAAAAGACTGGCAACCATGGAGAAGGACGAATTGGTCGAGAGCAGTCCTGGTTAACAATTTATATCTAAAGGTTAGGTAACAACTCTAATTGTGTGTGTTAGTAATCTGTTAAACTCCACCTCCACAGTTACCTGGCAACAGCCAGGTAGGCCTGCCCACTATAAAAGGGGCTCCGTGGCCCCTCCTCTCTCTCTTGTTCCCCTCGACCCAGTGCCTGCAGGTTACCGTCTCCCCTCTCCCCTTCCCTTCCCCCTCTCTCCACATGGTCATGGCCAGCCTCTACCCTCTCTACTCTTCTCTCTCTCCTCCCGCTGCTCTCCCACTCTCTTAATAAACCTCCCCTCGTGGAACCGTCTAGTCTGCTGTGATTTGTCTAAGCTGCGCTGTGAAAACCTTTCAGTGTGGGCATCTTGTTAATTAAGCATTTCCAAATACAGAAATTCTTTGGATAATCTTTAAGCACTAAGAGTCTTCTTTCTACTGGGAACTGTGAGCAAACTGTGAGCAAGGCGGGTTTTGTCTGGGGCTTAGCAGAGAACCATGAGGGTGACAGGGTTGGCACAAAATCTATGCTTTCGGCCATGGTCTCTATGGAGCTGGTCTATGGAACCAACCGCCCAGGTAACTTCTTGTTGAGTGCTTTTGTCCCCTGGCCGCTTCTAGTTAAGAATATGGTGTGCGGTCCAGATAGCTAACAGAGCCAGACCAAGCAGCTAGGTCTTTCTAAATATTACCCACTACAATGATACAAACCTGTAATACCAGCAATTGGGAGGTAGAGGGGGAGGAGCTGGAGTTCATTGTCATTCTTAGCTACATCTAGAGTTCAAAGTCCACCTAGGCAAATGAGAGCCCCGTCTCAATATGTACATTGGTAGATAGAAGATAGGTAAGTAGTAGGTAGGTATATAGGTAGGTAGGTGGATAAGTAGGTGATAGATAGATAGATAGATAAGTAACGATATCGACCAGTTCCTCTTCAGGAAACAATAGCTTACTTTCCTTATTTTCTGACCTAGAGCACCTCATATTTATATACTCTGTGGAATCCGATTCTTTACCTTCCAACACTTCCCTTTAAACTTCCTTTTACACTTTGTGTAGCCAAATGAGGATTCTGTTGTTTATAAACAGAGACCTAATGAATTAATCTAAGTACATAGCATGCTTCTTTAAAATGCAAATGAAAATATAAAACACACAGTCTCTCACCCATTGTTAGGAGTAGATATAAAGATCTTTTCATTAAGTAAAATTTGGTTCTAAACCTAGCACCAAACAAGAAGTATCTGCAATACTTACATTTTTTTCTGTCCATCCATTCTTCTAACTCTGCAAAGTATATAATCTGTCTTGTCCTCCAAAGGCCAAGTCGGTGTCTAATACGGTGGATTAAGCTCTGGTACATTTGTATAACTGCTTTCAAATTTGGACCATGATACAATGCCTATGAAAAGTAAAAACACACAATAATTTCTTCATATATTTCTGTTATTTATACCCATTTGGGCATCCAGAGTAAATAACTTAGGTAAAAGCCATTTTTGAATGTCTTCTGTACAAAAATGTGCACCCTGCAGTGCACTGTCCTCAGAGCACTGACAGCCACTTCCATCACCAGACCTTCTGTGCTGGGTGGCATCTTTGTTATTTTGACACAAGCTAGATTCCTTTAAAAAGAGGAAACTCCAATTGGGAAAATGCAACCATTACATTGCCTGTAGGGCACTGGGGAATTTTCTTAATTAACTATTTATGCAGAACAGCCCAGCCTAGTAGAGGTGCAACCACCCATGGTCAAGTAATCCTAAGTGGTATGAAAAAGCAACCTGAACAAGCCATGGACTGCAAGGCTATATGCATTACTCCAGGCCTTCTGCTTTGGTTCCTGATGAGTCCCTTTCCTGGTTTCCTTCAGTGATATCGTGGAGTCTCATTATATAAACAAATAATACCTCCTTCACAAGTTGCTTTTGGTCCTGGTATTTTATCACAGCAAAGGAAAGCAAACTAAGACACCTTTCCTCTTGTAACAGACTGTGTACTCTAGTGAACTGTGAGCCAAAGTAAACCCTTCTGCTTTACATTGGTTTTTGTCAAGTATTTGCTAATATTTATAAAAGTAACAAATACAGAATATATGAGTAAATACTGATTAACACTATATGTACAACACTATAATACAAAAATTAATATAAATTATTGGTAAAAATATTTCAATTTTTATTTACATAATGGGCAAATCTACATTATCTTCGTAGATGCTTCAGTCTGTCAGGTTTGATTCTGTCATTATTAGCACAAGGACATTTAGTGAGAAGTGGTTCCTCTAACTATTAGCAAGAGCAGACCCTTACCTGTTTATTACCCATTTATCCTTTTCAGCTGGACAGTCTGGTCCTGTTTGCTTGTTCACCATTCTCTGTGCAGCTTGGGACTTTTTCAGAGAACTTTGAAGGTTGGTTTGTTTTCTTAACCCTAGTATCTATCTATCTTAGTGAATGCTTTTGTGTTGCTTGCATTCAGCTCTTAGAAAATGGAGTGCCAGCCCCTATGAGAAAATATCTACCTGGTCTGCCGATCTAACCCTGTCTAAACACTGATATGTGGCAGTATCCAAGAGGGTCTTTATTCCAAAGCCTCATAAAGTAAGGAAAGAAACATACTTAAATGACTAAATCAATGAAATAAAATTTAAAATAACAAGGTAAAATAAAATATTCTAAGTAGCCACCTTAGGTTTATATGCATAAGCATACACTAAAATATGCAAGTAACAAAGGCATGAAACACCAGTTGTGACTTCGATATCAATTTTTCCAGCCAGTAAAAAATTTGCTGACACTCTTAGACATACAAGGATGTAGAAGACACAGTCTCTTTCCTCGATTTGGTACCTACCTCATAATTGCTTATAAGGTTATTCTCATAGTAGAATACAACTCTTTGAGAATAGGAATATTAGATGTTCACTAAATTGTCTACAAGACCCAGAACTTTCTTATGACTTATTTGGAGCCTAATGCATGTTTTTTGAATAATTAAATAGAAGTGTATAATTGCATATTGGGATCAGGGGAATTTTTTTCCTAAACATTCTAAAGTAGTCTCTTAGCCAAGAGTGTTGTTTCTGTATACTACTCACTCCCATAAATTTTAGAGTCATTATTTTTGATGGTAATTAGAGTCATGGGAATAGACATCCTTGTTCCAGGAAACTATGTACAGTACAGAAAGAATCCTATAAAAGAAAGATTGAGATGATCCAAATAAAAGGCAAGTTTATCCATCCCATAAACACTACAGCAGTAGTCAGAGCTTCTCCTTTGTCACTCTGTGCTCCTGACACGTTATTCAGAACACCCCACGCTCTAATCTAAACACTCTTGTCATTGATCTACGTAATGTCACAAACTACATACCTGTTATAAGCCTTGATTTATAACATGGTTTTCAACTTGACTTCTAAGATCTCTCTTAAAATACCTCTTATCTTTAGCTTCCTCAAGTTCCACTGCCCTCACAAGACTCCACCTGTCCCGTAAGTGTTCCATCTCATCCAAGGCCATTGGCATTGTCTTTTCTTGTGCCCCTATGACTCCACAACCATCTGACAAAATAGAACTCTCTACATCTCAGTATATTGGCAATGACCAACCCTACACCAGACAAAGCAATTTTGGTTAAGTGACTGGCCTTGTTAATTAAGCATTCATAATTAAATATTCATAGAATACCTAAGATTTTTAAAAGACATCTGTACTATTAACTGAGTTGTTTCATGAGTTGTACTACATAAAATCATATACCAGGATCTGGTGACTATTATTATATTTAAAAATAAACATTGTTGATCTGATTCTCTTTCAAGTAAAAATATTAAACAAAATAGGTTTTATTGTCAAGTAAATGTTCTACAGGGAACTAAGAACCAAACATTTATATAACAAACCTATTCTATATAAAGTCAGCATTAAAGCCCTGAATAGGCTAAGCAGACTTTGTTGTTTCTATAGATTTTGACACATGATAATGAGAGGCAATTAATATTCTATCAAATTTCTAAAGGATTTTATAAGCTTCAAAATATTCATGACCTTTGACCCATGTGTTGTCCATGGATCATGGGTTGCTATAGTAACTTTAAAACTTGGATTTTCAAAAGATTTTAAACACTTTCTTAACCTAACCCTAAATTTTTGACCAATATCATCTAAGGACTAAAATCATTTAAGTTATAAATAAAATATTGATATTAAGTAAGATTTTAGAGATATTATATTAAGAAATATTATTCTGTTTTTGTATAGTTGCAATTTTTAGGGTTGTTATACTGAAATCAGAAACTAACAAAAAGATTTTTTTTAAGAAAAGAACTTTTTGAATGGTAGAAATTATGCTAGTTGAAATCTACATTATCTTCTGATTTATGACTGATAAGATAATTGAATACTGCTTCATTATTTCCAAATATGCCCCAAATGAGAGGATTTCGAAAGCAATAGTGAAAACCAAACAATCATTGTAGTAAACAGTGTCCACAGCAAAGAGTTGGAAGTCTTCCAGTAGAGGAATATCCATGGTGCAGGTAGTTATTCAGTGATTTGCTCTATAGCTTCTAGAGTAGAATTTCCCTCAAGATCCCCCAGTAGCAACCTTTCATGTAGGCATGGTCTTAGAAGCATCATTTATTGCACTATAAGCCTGTCCCTCTAGCATTTTGTCAGTAGCCAAACAACTTTAGCCATATCAACAAAGCAGCCATCTAATTCACAAAATGCCAAAGCAATGATTGAACAAGCACAAGAAAAAAATCAACGATCATAACAGAATTTATAACCAAATAAAAGTCTACAATCTTTCTTCTATTCGCTCGGATCCCCTAAGGTACTTCCCACTGTTTTCTTCTCATCTTCTACTGGCTCAGAGAAAGTCAATGGTCTCCATAGCAGTATCTCCTTTTAAGTATCATCTTATTCATGCAGTTGCTAAACTTTTTGAATTCATTTTTGTTCCAGAGGTTATGAATGGCTACTGTTCTTTCTGACAGCAGGAAATAATACAATTAAATTATATAATATATAAAAACTGAGCGCAAAGAACATTAAAGCTCTGCCACATTAGAAAACCATGACAAACTTCTAAAATAATATTCTATTGATTCAGTTTATTTATTTTATAGTTACCTTTTGAGTAAACAGAAAGACCATAGGTTAAGCATTGTTTTCTATGTTTTAAAACAGTAACAAACAAGACAGTGGGTTATAATATAACCCAAATAAAGAATTTAAACACATAAAGAGATAATGAACAAGAAAAATAGCAGATAATAAGTCATATGATTGAAATGCTAGAGACTGTATACTATGTGTCAAGGCAGTATATGCTGATATTAATGCAAAAATGAATCTACAAATTCTCAATTAAATCATAAAAATTGTGCTTCCTATATTAGTTGTCTCTTGGCTCTGATTAAATAACTGACAAAAGCAAACTATGGAATGAAGGGACTGTTGTTGTTGTTGTTGTTATTGCTGTTGTTGTTACTCAACAATGTAAGTAGGGGTACAGCAGTAGCTCAAGGAGGAGACTGATCACACTCTGTCTATAGTCATGAGCAGGAAGAGATTAATGCTAGTGCTCAGCTGGGTTTCTCCTTTTTATTCAGTCTAGGACTCAGCTCGAAAAATGATAAAGCCTACATTCAGGGTATCCTTTTCCCACCTCATGACCAGAAATTTCCTTCTGTGGTAAATTTACATCTTGTCAATTTGACAATATTATACATTACACACCCAGTGACACTTGTGTACATGATGTTGACGATCATGATTCAGAGAACTAGATAAAAGAATGTAGGAGTCATCTCTACACTGTAGACCAAGGATTGGGAGAGTTGACTACCTGAATGACTTGGAGTTTACGAGGAGGAGGAGGAGGAGGAGGAGGAAGATGAGGAGGAAGATGAGGAGGAGGAAGATGAGGAGGAGGAAGATGAGGAGGAGGAAGATGAAGAAGAAAAAGAAGAGGAGGAGGAAGAAGGGAAGAGGAAGAAGATGAAGAGGAAGAGGAAGAGGAGAAGAGGAAGAGAAGAGGAAGAGGAAAAAGAAGAAGAAGAAGCAGAAAGAGATAATGTTTTCCTTTGTAGTATTTTAAAAGTCAAAGCCACAAAATAACAATGAACAGTTAAAATTTGGAGTTTATTAATTCCTAAAGAGTATGCAAAGAAGCACCATGTGATAATCTTGACAGAAGCCAGAGAGAGATAGGAGGTTACATGTCCATGTCAGGAAATTCACACTTCATGTCGTATCAGTGTAAGGCAGCATAATACTATGAGAAGAAGGGAAATGTGTATAAAATATGGCATATACTACAGAGGACTGAATGAAAATAAGCCCATAACCAAGGAAATCCTCTAGAAATCTACTGTAATTCTTCATGTGAGAGCAGATGAAAATAAAATCTGAGGGAAAAGGCAGAGAAAAAGAGAATATAGAAAAATATGCGAAACTCACAGCAACCGGGTATGGCAACAAAAATGTCAGAAATGCAAGAGAATTCTAGGCTGTGACTACACAATGGATGTCGTGTGTATGCAGTGCAGGAACAAAGGTACCTGGGAAAGTAAGAAAATGGGTTCATTTTGGGACATGTGAAGTGTGACCTAACTATGGAAACTTCAAGTAGGCAGTTCAATACCTGGGTCTGAGCTATGGAGAAACATCTATGATGTAGCTTTGATTGGATTAAGAAATAGCCTCACGGGAAGTAGTTCAAGTAGGCAACAGGCTATGTAGAATAAGCAGTCTTGGGTGTCAGACCGTCTAGCTTTCAGCTGTTTGACTCAACTTTGAGAAAGTGATTTGACTTACTAACGCTTGGATTTCTTCACACATAAGATAGTGTCTTATTCACTAACAGAATTAGTGATGGATAAAGAGTTTACTTTTAACAGGACATTAGATTTAACATCAGAATGATAAAAGCCATGGATACACTTCCACTCGTAAACAAGCAGATAGCTGTGTTCTTACAAATAGGTACTCTGGGGCCTAACAAAAATATTCTTCTAATGGGCTACTCTGAAAACTGTGTCTGCTTCTCCATCATTTGCCAAGCTTTAATCCTTAAGGTGAGGGCATTTCTTATCCCCTCAGAGTTTTACCAGGACCCATCCAGTTGGGCTTCTCTTGTATTTGGGTAACCAAAAGGGATACTTGTGGTTTATTATGAAACTCAGTGTTACTGTCTCTAAAATTTTCCAAGGTAGTTGTGGGAGGGAAGGGTTACACACAGTTATTTTCAAAGGAAATGTTTAATGCACTGCAAAAGTACACAGGAGTTTGGGAAGCAGAAAGCTCCTACTTATTCTAGCTAGAGAGTAAATTGCAAAAACAAAAAAGACAGTATGCTCTAGTCCCAGAACTGCTTAACTTTGAATAACCATAGTATTTTGCTCAGTGCCCAAATTCTCAGAAGGCAAAACTGTTTCCAGAGCAAATTACTCATTTGATTTTTCTCAATCAAAAATTATAGATTTTTGCAGAGATAAATAGATAGAGCATTTATAGATAACTTACACACCTATTTCCAGGCAAACTATTCAAATTCTATAATTAAATCTACATAAGAAGCCAGATGGTGGTGGTTCATACCTTTAACCCCAGCACTCAGGAGGCAGAGGCAGGCAGATCTCTATTCAAGGCCAGCCTTGTATACAGAGCAAGTTCGAGGACAGGCAGGACTACACAGAACAACTCTGTCTAGCATCTTTATCCTATTTTTGAGAACTTTAAACAACAACAACAAACTCAAACCAAAAAACCCATAACTCTACACAGAAATTTTAAAGACATTCTTCTCCATAAGGTAGTCCTTACCTTGCTTTTTATCCGCTGAAGCCTTTTGCGCTCAAGCCACCCCCTGATAAATGCTTGGACAGTGACGACCAGCTTAACAATTCTTTTAGTAAACATGGGTTTGCTTCTTCCCTGGAACAGTTGGTAAATTTCTATGTGTGGTCCAATTCTTTTAACTTTGCTGTCTATTTTATCAGACTTTACAACAGTCTTTGATCTGAAAATAAAATATAAAAACTTCTTAGAGATAACTAGAATAATAAATATACTATGTATATGTATGTGTACCTTCTTAAATTCTTTTGATGATGAAGGCACACATACACACACATACGGAATCACACACACACACACACACACACACACACACACACACACACACACTTTAGTACTGAGGATTGAAGCCAGGGCCTCATAGCAATTTATCATTGAGCTATATTCCCGGCTTTCCTGTTTTGTTTTGTTTTGGAGGTTTTTGTTTTGTTTTCGTTTGGTTAGGTTTTAAGACATGGTCTTACTAGGTTGCTCAAACTGGTCTTGAACTCACTGTGTCCCTTGCAGGTATTGAAATCATGAACCTCAGGACTCAGATTCTAGAGAATTTGAAATTACAGGCCTTTACTATTAGTTCAGCCTTCAATAACAAAGACACTGAAACAAAAACATGTACTAGGACTTGAATATAGAATTTAATATATAACCTCACTCAATTATGTTGATAAAGTTCTCAAAAATGATAAAAATGCTAGAATATATCAATATATTAATATATCAATGTATCATATATAACATTAAACTTTTAAAAGAAGGAAATCCAAAAGAAAGGGAATCTGTCAAACTGACTTACAACTATTCAAAAAGGGCATAATAGTCCAAATAATTTTCATGCCCCAACAGTTATATTAGAATAATGTAAGTCACTCTATATAAGTCAGCCATATGTCATTTCTATGCCAACCCAACATAAGCTGGAAATGACTTCTGACCCTAGGCCTGAGGGGGCAGCAGTGTGGCAAGCAGGGTCATGGGCAACTGGATAAGCACAGAGAGCTTATACTAGAAACCACGATGGTCCATCAGTACTAACAACTAACCCCTCAGCAATGATGAGAATCATGGAAGAAAATGTGAGCTTTCTACAATGAGCATATATGTAGTATGTGTTATGATTGTGGAGCCTGGGCAACTTTGCATCAAATGGTTTTCTTCATAGATACGATTTGTGTTTAACATGGCGACTGATTTTTCAGTGTCTCTCAGATTCTACTTCTCTTGCAAATTCTTAGCATATAGAAGCTAAAAAAACACTACTATTATGACTCCTGAGCACATATCTAAAGGAATCCACAGGGCAGCCCACCCACAACAGTTCACTCTTTTCCTGGACACAAGCCAGGAAATTTCTTTTTCTTTTTTTTTATTGGATATTTTATTTACATTTCAGATATTATCCCCTTTCTCCATTTTCCCCTCACCCAGAAACCCACTATCCCATTGCCCCTTCTTCTACTTCTGTGAGGATGTGCCTCTACTCACCCAACCACTCCCCTTTCCCCACCCTAGAATTCCCCCATACTGGGGCATCCAGCCTTCACAGGACTAATAACTTACTCTCCCACCTATGCCCAACAAGGCCTTCCTCCCCTACATATAAAGCTGGAGCCATAGGGCCCTCCCTATGTGCTCCCAGGCTGGTGGGTTAGACCCTGGGAGCTCTGGTTGGTTGATATTGTTGCTCTCCTCATGGGGCCACAAACCCCTTCAGCTCCTTCAGTCTTCTCTCTAGCTCCTCCATTGGGAATCCCATGACCAGCTCAATGGTTAGCTGTGAGCATCAGCCTCTGTATATATCAGGCTCTGGCAGACCTCTAAGGAGCCAGCTGTAATAGGCTCCTGTCAGCATGCACTTCCTGACATCCACATCAGCTTCTGCCTTTGGTGACTGCACATGGGATGGATACTCAGGTAGAGGAGTCTCTGGATGGCCCCTCCTTCAGTTTCTGTCCCACACTTTGTCTCTATATTTTCTCCCCTGAATATTTTGTTACTCCTTCTAAGAAGGACTGAAGCAACTACACTTTGGTCTTCCTTCTTCATGAGTTTCATGAGTTGTATCTTGGGTAATATCCATGTATCAGTGAGTATATACCATGTGTGTTCTTTTGTGATTGGGTTATCTCACTCAGGATGATACTTTCAAGTTACATCCACTTACCTAAGAATTTCATGAATTCGTTGTTTTTAAAGCTGAGTAACAGGGAATTTCAACCCCAATTTTCTTAATTCTAAGAGTAAATCTCTAACTCAAACTGACTTTCAAACTAACATTGATTTTGCTTTATTTTCTTCTAGTATATTTTTATTTCTGCATTAAGTGGATTCTTGAACAAGTCTGCTTTTTGTTTTGTTTTACACACGGTTATTATTTCTCTTTCCTTGGTATTTGAGAAGTTGCAAGTCTAATTTTGATATCTAACATAGCGATCAAAGCACGGTTATCAGTAGAAAAGCAAGAAATCTCAAATCACTCTTTTGTTTTTTTTTTCTACAGTTTGTATTGAAGTCTGTAACCTTGTAATATACACTGTATTGTATGTCATATGAATTCTAGTATAACACTATTCTGGAATTTGAGTTTCAATATCATGCATAGATAATTCTGTAGAATAAGTAGAATGTATATAATTCCTTGATTTTAAGAGCCACAGGGCCTGTTCACTGGCTGCTAGACAGTGTCTTGCAATGCATGGTAGGGAAACTATACTCATAAAATTACACTCTTGCATAAACAAGACCTGGATAATGACATCAGTTGTTATGCCAATGGAGACAGAGGAAATTTCACAATACCTCAATCCTAGATGAAGAACTACAGTGAGTCAATGGATTCTAAGAAAGATTTTAAGTTCCAGGGACTCAGGAAACATGTGCTGCTAGATACAATCTCCTAGACATGACAAGAGAAATGCATTCATGGTTGCCAGACAAAACCAACATAGTGGCAACTAATTGACCTGCCAGTGTGAACAGGGAAAATTCCTCAAGGCCCCACCCCTAGATGAAGAGCCAGAGATGGTCAATTACTGTTGAGAGAGGAGAAAGCAGTGTCCTCCAGAAACAAGCTCCCACATAAGTTGTCCAATCCAAGTGATTATCAGCACAGTCGGTTACAAACACAGGCACACATGCGTGCGCACATGCACACACACATGCATACATGCACACACAGGCACACATGCACACACACACAGAGGCACACATGCACACACATGCACACACACGCACACACATGCACACAGGCACACACGCACACACACGAGTAATAATTCAAGAAGAGTTGATGGATTTGAGAGGAGAGGTACTCACAGTAGTAGTTAAGGAGGGACAGGAATGATATAGCTGCTGAGCTCATGACTAATAGTTTCAAGACTTTTTATAAGAAATGTAAACATTTAAAAATGTTGGAAATGATTATTCTTAATAACTGAAAATGTAATGAAAACTTTTACTTTAGGGCCTAAACACACAGATATTGATCAGTAATAGATAGATAATGACTAGCTCTTAAAGTAAAAAGAAAACTGAGATAGAATATTTTATAGATGGCTTCCTAGAATGACTTGAATTGTTCCTACAGGATTTGAAAGAAATATACATGAAATGGAGGCAAATGAATTTTGATGAAGATAATAATAAAATAGGCAAAGGCTTACAAGTTCATTGCTATAAAACATTAAATAGAGTATCCAATAATTTAACTCAGCAAGGCTGTTTGACATGAACATGGCCCTGCGAATGGTCCCCAATACTGAAAAGCCAATCACAAATGTTACTCAGGTTGGAAAAGAGAAAAAAATAAAATTCAATGTGAAATCCTTTCTGTTACACTGACTACCTGATTTTCAAGTATAGTCTCTTCTTAATTTGACAGAAGAGGACTTATTTTGTACCTTTAATATAATTTCCCTAGATAAAAAGTTCCTGATACCAAAAAAAAATCATTTTATTAATGCTTGTAAATTCTTTCCCTCTTTTTTTTGTGATTGATCTTTGAACAATTTGGAATCCCTGATATTTACTGTCATTTATGCCAAAACTACTGGTTTTTTTATTATTATTATTTTGAAAAAGAGCAGCTACAAGCCCTTCCTTGTAATGACATTATAAAGTCACAAACTTTTTCACTGCCCTTGGCGTCAATGATATTTTAGTAGTTCCAAGTGATGAAATGCTACATTTCTACAGACATTATGTGGAGAACCATGGTTATTGGGGATTTCTGCTGAACAAGCTGGTCCTATTCATTCAAATATCTGAGGCCAGTCTTGCCTTTCTCTTACATTTTCTTATATGCTCTGTGATAAGGTGCACACAAGTCATAAATTGTGTTTTCTGAAGGGAACAATGGAAGTATGACAGCTTTATGAAGACCATATTTTCCTAAGAATTTATCACAGAAAGAAAGAACTTTGGGTACAGACTTCTCAGGGTAAAGCTGCTGCCACAACTATGCATCTGGTAGTTGGGGCACAAGGATTAACAAGGACATCAGGATGATTTCTGATCCAGAAAAAAAAGCTTCTTGATCCAAGATCATCCTGATGATCTTTAGTTTATAATTTCAAAGTTTGAGCAAAACCTTTGAATCCCTACATATAATTTATTAATTGCCTTTACTTATACACACTAGAATGGATAACTTCCAAGTGATACAGAGAGCTTTCCAACTAACATGTTGGTGTTTAAGAGAACAAATTCCTAGAGAAAGTTTTGTATATATTGTAAGTTATGAAATCAACAGATATGTGTTAGTAGAAATTGAGAATACATGATAGTCTTCATTATCTGTGAAATAGGTTAAATATATACAAATGATTTTACTAAGTATTTTATTATTGCATTAGTATTTCTAAATTTTTAATAATAATCATGGCTGAGTTTAGTCCCACTGCCTATTATCTCAGAATTTACTAAGCACCACAAGCTCTAGGCTACACAGCAAGTTTGAGGCCAGCCCAGCGTATATGAGACTAGGATTAACTGAAAAAAAGAGGTCCTAGTTGGAGAGGAAAGGGGCACATGGAAAGACAGTGGAAATGAGAGTGAATGAGAACAAAGAGTAATAATATGTACCCGTGAAAAGAACACGCTGAATTACCTTGTATGCTATGCTAAAAATTTACGTTTTTACTAATAAGAAACTAAAGAGTGGATCAA